CCAGCATCCTTTCCACTTTTGAAAGCAGTCTGCAAAGTCCTCTTTAGGTTCAGCTGCTGTGTTATGTTCCCCATAATCTCATCCACAGTGTTTTAACACAAATTTTACCATTGGGAAAAACTATAAGTTGCAAGCATCTCTATCTAGATTGTAAAGAGCCCTTACAAACATGAGTGATGCGTTATTTTACCAAAAACTAACTCTGCATGAGACATTAAAGTAGGATCATTGTCATGATGACTGTGAAGATCATCCAATACGCAAATTCATTTAGTCAACTGAATAATCCCTAGGAGAGTGCCTGTCCTCTGCTTGTGAAGTAAGGTCTCTTCTGTTTGTTAAGTTACATCAACTAGTTCTTAAGTTATTAAAAACTAGCAGTAGAGCCCAGCGTTGCCCAGGGATGTAACAGTAAGAGATAGATCAAGTATCGACCATCATAAAGACTGAAAAATAAAATTGACAAAGATTATTGTTTAAGGTTGACAGACACGCATGTCTTAATTATTTTTTTTTTTTTTTTTACGAATTGGTCAAACCCAAACTCAAACAAAAACATTGTTTTCAATCATTATGAGTCTACCAATTGAATAGAATGTTATTATAAACAATTGTCTTGTAAATGGAATTTTTAAAGCATTCTGAATGTAAAAATAAAGAAAAAAATGTGCCAAAAAAAAAGTGAAGTTTTGTTGAAATCGGTTGAAAAATGTAGGAAATCCGATCCCATATATAAAGGAACACACACACACACACACACACACACAAACAACCTGGTTTTTATAATAAGTATAACTCGATAACTCGATATTAATAAGTATAAGTCAATATGAGTTGTCCCTCTTTCATTAATGCCTCCTAATCATGTTTTCAAATTGATTTCGTGTATTTTTCCAATTTTGGGCACTGTCAGAACCACCGCAAAATAATTTTATGTAGTCCTGTGAAGTTTTGTTGAAATTGGTTGAAAAATATAGGAAATCCGATCCAATGTATAAATGTACAGACACACACACACACACACAATCTGCGTTTTATAATAAGTAAGATGTTATGATACATTCTAGACAGTCTTTGTATGTAAGTTGTACAATATTGTAGAACTTTCTTTCTGTGAAATTCCACATTCTAATAATATTAGACAGTGATAAAAACCTGCTAATAATAATATGCGAAACATCTGTTGCTGTCTGCAATTGCAGGAAAGTTTCTGCCAACTCTCCTTACAATATAAACTTTATCCTGTTGAAAATTTTTATTTATTTACTTTTTGCAACATTTGTAAGATTCTAGCAACTCTGAATTTAAAACAGTTGGAATTAATTGCATTATTTACATTATTCAGACTGTTATCCTCATCTTCATTGCCATATTTACGTTTCAGCCATTGTATGCTCTGGCCTTCTTCAGGTGATTGGAATTTCAAACCAAAGCCTTTATTTCATCCCCTAGTGTAGATTGTTCTAGTTCCATGTGCCATGCCTCTTCCAGATGTCTCGATTATTTCTCTTTAATCAATTCTCCAAGTTTTTTGGTTCACCACTGCTGTGGCCTGGTATTGAACTCACAACTCTTTGGGTCTAGTTAGTGGATCTAACCAACATCTTTATCCATTGGGCCATTTGTCCTTGATGAAATAAAGGCTTCAGGTTGAGATTTCAATCACCTGAAGAAGGTCAGAGTGTACAATGGCCGAAACATTGTGAATGTGGCAATGAAGATGAGGATAACAGTTCAAATAATGTAAATAATGCAATTAATCATAATACCTTACCTCAAAGATATAGACAAAGATCGGAATTAAATATCTAAATGAAAATTTAAATTAGAATAGCTTGAAGGGTGGAGTTTAAAAATAGTTTATAAACTTGACTCAGCTAAAATAATCTTCTTTTCACCCTGCTTCAAACATCTGTTAAAGATTTCTTCTAAATATTGTCTCTGGATTTTCTAAGGCCTTTAGTAAATTCATCCAAATACTGTCATTAAATCCACCCATAATTATTATTATTTTTTAATTAGAATGAAATTATTCATAAACAAATGACAAATTAACCTTTATATTTCATGACCAGCACAATCATAACCATGTTTAAAAAAAATAAAAAAATCTTTTAGATTCTAATGACACTGAAGCCCTTTCCTTGGGGGAGATACTGTTTTTCTTTAAACCAGTTAATTATGTCTCTAGGGGAATTATCGAGAAACCAACCTTTGCAGCCTTTTAACAGAATGTGTTAAAACATTAACAATTGTTTTGTTTTTTTCTAGCAATAAACAAGAATTCCACTTTGGCTTGACAAAATGTTATTAAAATGAATGTTTATCCCTCAGGGGTTTACAAGAATCACAACTAAAGAAAAATACAAGAAAACCTGTAATTTTTCTGTCTTGGTAAAATTGCTTCAACTAAACACAGAAAATATTATGAAATTGACCTTGGAATCTGAACACTTATTCTTCAGTGCAATATGGAAGCACGCCTCAGAGTAGATGACTAGTGATGTTCATTCACACATGTGCAGATAGCAGCCTGTTGAATCTAAAATGTTTGCAAGCCTACATTAAGACTACAGTTAATGAGCAAACCTGTTGCAAACAATATGGCAACACCTGTAGTTGAGACAATCTCATTCCTTTTTCAAATTTTGGAATTCTTACAATCTTGATTCTAATTCTTGTAGCACAGTTCCTCATCATTATAAGCTTGACCTCACCCATCATGCTTCACAACTTCTCAGTTCTCAAGCAAGGTACTGGTACTTTACTCATCTTTCTTGATCCATTTTCACTTTGTGACAGCCACCTCTAGAATCTGCCAGATTTTTTTTTCTTGTTCACAACTGTCAGATATTGCTCTATTTTTTATTATTATTGTGATAAGAAATGTCTTGGTTGTGGAGGTACAGTATAAAATTGTCTGTGGCTAACTACAGGTTGTAGTTCATATATTCTTACTTCCAGAAAGTCTAATATTGAGCTTCATTTTCACTGATTAGTATAGTTTTCTGTTTGAATTAATGGTGTAGTATGTGATTCATGTCAGGAAACCCCAGAAGTCTGAATTGAATTTAATGCCCATCAGCAGCCTAAGAAGAATTGATCTGTGGTGACCACAATATGTAGTGGGTTCACCCTTGTAGATACAAAATAAGTTTTGTACTCGTAATCTCATGAAGTCGAGACTTGGGAGAGGCCTTGAAGGTTGCCCTCAAAGCCTCCAAGGGCAGAATCTGGCCTCTAAGGATATCAATGGGTGCACCAATATAAACAAAGAAGCAAACCTAGCTAAACTTAGGATATACATGCGCAAGAAAAACAGATAGTGCAAATATAAATGCCTAACTTCCAAGGGGAGAAGGAGAATCCCTCCCACCCTCACAAGAAGATCAAATGTTCAAAGAAAGAACTCAAACTACATGTCCTTGATTCAGCTGACATTAATTTGATAGCATGCAAATGAAAAATGATTATTTTGCACATAAAGAATTTATTCTCATATTCTTATCAGATGTGCTTTTGCAAAAAATTATCTGAATGAGAAAATGTGCTTTTCTTAAAAGGGAAAATAGAGCCTTATTCAACTGTGATGCTCTCTGCAGCCAAGCTATAAATCACACTGCATCAAATGGTGGTTTCTCTTACAAAGTTTCTCTGTGTGTTTAGGATCCATTTAAACACACTTCGAAACCTACCAAACTCCATCTAAACATATTGTAGGAAATACAAGGATAATAGCTTCATCCACATGTAAAAAAAAAAGACTAAAAATAGTAGGATTACTAATAATAAAAAGCTCAATACTCATCAACTGTGAACATGGCCATAATGTGCTGACTGTGTTTGGAAAATAAAGTTTACATTTAACTCTAGTGGAACACACCTATTCTATAGTTAATAGACTCTCCCACCTATAATAAGTAGGAGTAGTAGGAGTCACTCAGTGAGTTGGTCAGTCAGTCGATGTTGGACGACCGTTAGTCAGATATTAAAGTATCAGCCACCACAACTAGATTGCTGCGTCATTACCTATTATATCAAGTTCCTAACGTTTTGTACGTCGAACCTATTAAGCTTAACCACAGTCCTTTGTTAGTCGTCTTTAATGAGACTTGTATAAAATAGGGATTGCAATACAAATATAAAGTTTGTCACTTAGCTGATTGGTGTTACCTTCAGCATCCTGACTCCAGAGTTTCATAGACAGATCCTGTGTAGATATACAAATCAACACTGCAAAGTGACTCATTTTCACACTTCAAGGCAATCTTCAGACCAATATCTGCAATGTTGAACACTTCGCTATGAATCTAGCAAATTCTAAACAATATATAAACACATGAATACATCGATGCACATGTGTGTTTATGAGTGTACATTCATATATCGAGCTTTCATGAACAATATAACATCTACATACTGATACATACATACATACATACATATATATATATACACACACACACACACACAAACACACATATATATATATATATATATATATAAATTTCTTTTTGTCCATGTCATTCATTGTTTTTCTTTCCTCAAGCCTGCTTCTAACTTAAAAATGCATCCCAGCAAAACAACTCAAAATTCCTTTTGACAACAAGCAAGATTTGTTTACAGTCAAGGTGCAAGATTGTTAGATCCCGGGAGGGTGGTTTGCTAACTATCCAATGTTCGGAAAACTCTCTCTTAAAAAGATCTGCCCTATCAGCTTTTGAATACCAGAAATTCTTTGGTATTATTAATCCTTATTTAGAGATAAAACAGGGGCTGTTGGCATTCTCTGCTGACATCTGCAGGGGTTGAGTTTAGTGGGATGGGCATTTTTTTTTATCTTTTTTAAAGTAATGCCATTGTTTTAGTAAAAATTAGATACAGTTTTGCAGTTTTCTTGTTAAAATAAATGTCAAATCCTTCTCTCTTTATGGACACAATCATTATTTTTTAATTTCTTTTTCATCTCTCTCTTGATCTCCTTCTTTCCAACTGTTGAGGTCTCTCTTTCAAATTGTTTATATCTGTCCTTTTTCAACTGTTCATAACTCTCTCCTTTCCCATCTGTTCATGTCTCTCTCTCTCTTCATCTGTTCATGTCTCTCTCTCTCTCTTCATCTGTTCATGTCTCTCTCTCTCTCTTCATCTGTTCATGTCTCTCTCTCTCTCTTCATCTGTTCATGTCTCTCTCTCTCTCTTCATCTGTTCATGTCTCTCTCTTCATCTGTTCATGTCTCTCTTCATCTGTTCATGTCTCTCTCTTCATCTGTTCATGTCTCTCTCTCTCTCTCTCTTCATCTGTTCATGTCTCTCTCTCTCTCTTCATCTGTTCATGTCTCTCTCTCTCCATCTATTCACGTCTCTCTCTCTCTTCATCTATTCACGTCTCTCTCTCTCTCTCTCTTCATCTATTCACGTCTCTCTCTCTCTCTTCATCTATTCATGTCTTCATCTCTTCATCTGTTCTCTCTCTTCATCTCCTCTGTTCTCTCTCTCTCCCTCTGTTCGTCTCTCTCTCTCCTCTGTTCACGTCTCTCTCTCTCCATCATCTGTTCTCCGTCTCTCTCTCCTCTCTGTTCTGTTCACTCTCTCTCTCCGTCTGTTCGTCTCTCTCTCTCTCCCTCTGTTCACGTGTCTCTCTCTCTCTCTCTCCCTCTGTTCACGTCTCTCTCTCTCTCTTCATCTGTTCACGTCTCTCTCTCTCTTCATCTGTTCACGTCTCTCTCTCTCTTCATCTGTTCACGTCTCTCTCTCTCTTCTTCATCTGTTCGTCTCTCTCTCTCTCTTCATCTATTCACTCTCTTCATCTCTCTCTTCATCTATTCATGTCTCTCTCTCTCTTCATCTGTTCACATCTCTCTCTCCCTCTGTTCACGTCTCTCTCTCCCTCTGTTCACGTCTCTCTCTCCCTCTGTTCACGTCTCTCTCTCTTCATCTGTTCACTCTCTCTTCATCTGTTCACGTCTCTCTCTCTCTTCATCTTTTCATGTGTCTGTTTGTCTCTCTCTCTCTCTCTTTTTCATCTTTTCATGTGTCTGTTTGTCTCTCTCTCTCTTTTCATCTTTTCATGTGTCTGTCTGTCTCTCTCTCTCTCTCCCCATTTGCTCACCTCTCTTTCTCCACCTATTTAACTGTTTATTTTTTAATCTGATGGTAATTGTCTGATATACTGAGAACAATCTGTTGTTTCTTAAAGGTGATCATGTCTGAGACCATCAAAAATTCCTTTTGAAGAGCAAAAGGTTAAAAGGATTGTTAAAACTCTCTTTCACTTCTTTTTTTGTGGAGGTATAGGATATTATAAAACCTTATTTTTTTTTTTTTTTTTTTTTATTTTGGTGTGCATGGGTTACTTTTTAATGGCTACCCTAACCCCTACAGGTAAATATTACCCTAGATATGTGGGTTAAATTCATAATTGCATCCACACACAAATCCAAATTCTTGTTTCAAGATTGAAAGCTATTTATATCTTTGCTTTCTTTCTCTTTTTTCATTCTCTTTCTCCATTTTTTTCTCCTTCTCTTTTTCATTTTTTCTCCTTCTCTTTTTCATTTTTTCTCCTTCTCTTTTTCATTTTTTCTCCTTCTCTTTTTCATTTTTTCTCCTTCTCTTTTTCATTTTTTCTCCTTCTCTTTTTCATTTTTTCTCCTTCTCTTTTTCATTTTTTCTCCTTCTCTTTTTCATTTTTTCTCCTTCTCTTTTTCATTTTTTCTCCTTCTCTTTTTCTTTTCATTCTCTCTTTTTCATTTTTCTCTTTTTTCATTCTCTTTCTTTCCCTTTTCTCTGTATTATCTCTCTTTTTTTCTCTTCTCTCTTATTTTCTCCCTCTTTACTCTAACCTATTCTCTTTCTTTTTTTCCCTCTCTCTTTTCAACCTTTGTTCTGACATCTTTATTTTTATTAGCTTATTTATCACTCTTTCTTTAGATCTCTCTATTTCTCAAACCAATCTTTTTGTCTGTCTGCCATTTTTTTCTCCTTTTTAACTGTCTTTTTCTCTCCTTTTCTCATCTCTCTTCTGGTATCTCTCTCATCCTTTAATCTCTTTTCTTTTACTCTTTGTTCTAGTCTTTCTCTCTCTGATATTTTACTCTCTCTTCTATAGTAGCATATCCTTCTTTCTCCTCCCTTTCTCTTATAGTTTCTCTTAATCATTTTTCTTTTTTTTTTATTCCCTCTCATCTTCTGATATCCTCTTTTCTTTTTATTCTCTTTCTTCTAAATGCAAGCCATCTTTCAACTTGTCCACTTGTGTATCTTTACCACTGTCCTGTCATTGGAAAATGGCATTGATAGACAATGAAGAAACTTGAGCAATGCCTCTTCTTCATAATTGAATAAAAATGCAATACTCATTCTTCAAAAATTAAGACAGACATCATACTCATAAATAAATGACCATTCATTACCCCAACCCCATTGCACACTACCAAAATTTTTCTTTGTTGCAGTTTGGTTTGGCACTACCAAGTTTTTGGTGTTATTTTGTCATTTCAATTGGATTCTTGAACAAATTAAATCTGAATTTTGATTCTTCCCTCAGCAATTTGATTTACAAGTTCTATCTTTGCTAAACAAATTTCAAACATGTCAGACAATAATTAATGGCCACTTTTGCTTTCTTGACATGTTTTCAGTTGATATAATAATTACAGAACCTATTTAATTTTTTTATCAAAAATAAATTTGGAATGTAAAATTTGATGTGAGGTGTCACACAAAAGTTTATGCAATTTGAACAGATTGATCAATTTGTTCAGTGTTTTGTTCATGGACATTTCACTCCACTATGGAATGAGAAAGAAAAGTCATTTTCTACCAACTCTTTCTTTCTTCGAGAAAAGACATTTTGTCAAAATTCCTCAATCTTTTAGATAGTATCCTCATATAAGGTATATTCAAAACTTTCCAGAAAAAAATTCAATTTATAGTGCAAACAATACTGTTCTTTTACATCTTTTATCAAGAGACAGAACACTCCATCTAGAATATTTAGCTCATATTGGGTACCTTATACTTGTTTGGTTTGTTTTACAGCATATCAAACCCCAATAGGTTATTTAATGCTGACAAGATTTTTATTGCTGGTAATTTTTTTTTTTTTTTTTTTTTATTTAAAAAATGTATTGCTGGTAATATATATATTTTTTTTTTTTTTCAAAAATGTGTTACTGGTAAGCCCCACCATGCCATATTCACTGAGGTGAACAAGCCTCATTCTCTCTCTTTGTATTCTCTTAGTAAGAAAGAAGTTCCACTCAAAAACTTCATCTAATAATATGCTACTTTGTGGAAATGACTCCCAAGTGGATACTCTCCTGACCGATACCATCTTAACCTTTTCAAGTCTAGGGTAAACAGTTATTTTTCCCATATATCCAACTCTCTCACATGAAGTACAATCTATTGTTAACAGGTGCAAGAAATAGCTTGTTAATTTTAATAAAACGGTTCTCTTTTTATTGACTTAGAGAACCTTTTTTGTCTTCCATCAACATGTCTGATGCTAACCTCTGGGAGAGTGACTCATTACACTTTTTTTAATGTTTTCTGCTGACATGAAGTTGAAAATTTATATTGAATCAATTGCTAGGTCTGCTGCTCAGAAAGTTAGTTCACTATGCCATGCTAGACAATTTTTCTTGTCAAAATTTATCCTACATTAGTAAGTTGGCCATTTGTCAATGCCTTGAATATTGCTGCCACATCTGGTTTGGTGCTTCTGCTATGTATTTAGAGATTCTTGATAAAATTAAAAAGAAAAGAAAAGAATCTGCAACTGTATTGGTCCTGACCTGACATTTTGTCTTCGGTCACTTTCCCAAAATCATAGCATAGCTTCCGTGTGACTTTTCTGTAAATATTTTCATGGTATTTATTCTGATGAGCTTTTCCTCTTTGGTGCCTTGACTTTACTAATGTTTCCATTCTCTCTTCTAGCTTCTCTCTTTCCAGTCAACTTTGATCTTAAAAAATTTAAAAAAGATATATTCAGAAGATGAAAATAAACACTGAAATATATCAACTTCACTTTGACAATTCAAAACTCATATATTTTCAGTGTGTCCCAAAACCTTTATACTTTCATTGACATTATTTTTTTCTGTCTTATTATTTTTCTTTATAATTCTCTTTTCTTTTCTCTTTTGCCCACTTCCTCTTTCTTTCTCTGGATTCATTCTTTGTCCATGTCTACTCCCTTCACTCTCTCTCTCACTGTCTCTCTCTGTCTCTCTCTCTCTCTCAATACTTCTTCTTTTCCCCTCATGTCTTCCTTTTAAATTTCTTTTTTATCTTATCTACATTTTATTTTTGATTTTGTTCCACCAGAACCTGACATTAAGTGAAAAGTGTTTCTTATTGGTTATCTAGCAGTCACATGATCCATTACAAAATGGCTGTCTCTTGTACGCTTTATTTACATCTATAAATTGACTTTAAGCACAATTTCTGTCATTGGTAATGTCATAAAAACTTTTAGTAATTTATTTGAAAGTAGTCAGATTTATTTTCAGTTAAAACAAACTTTCTCTGTGTTCTTCTCCCTAAAGGAAGAATGTCTTTGTTTACTTTGGTAAGAATTTTGTTTGGAAGCAAACTTCTTAAAAAGAAAAAAAAAATTTGTAGCCTTGATTGGTGCTATCTTCTGAAGCCCAGTAAAATTAAACTATTGTTAGTCAACAACTCACTATTTAGACATTTTTATATTTAAAGAGCAAAAATGTTTAATTAAAAAAGCTTGCCTTTTCAAAAATCATTTTCTTTATATTTTTAAAATCATTAAAAGAAAAACATACAAGGCCTGTTTATTCTGTAAAGACTAAAACTGGAATGACCATTTTATTTTGAACAGATAATAGGAATGTTTTTTTTATGTTTTTAAGGGCCAGAGTCAGTGGATTTTTTGAAGATTTTATTTTTCTTTGCATAAAAAAAGATGTTCAAAATAATTAATCTTCAAAAAATCCATGATTTTCTTTGATATCTTTTATTTTTT